TTTCTGATGTCATTAATTTTGATATTTAAAAAAATTTTTGCACAAAAAGTAAGCGTAAAATTTAAAGGCTAAAAATTGCTAGTTGACAACTAACTAACTAACTGACTAATTTAATAACTTTACAAATAAAATAAATATTAATTTAAAATAAAAGTTAATTCAAATGTGAAAATTTTTAGCAAAGTGAATGAATGAATGAATAACTGTCGTAGTGTTCGCATTTTTCTATTAGCGATTAAAATTGGAATGGAACCAAATTTGACAATACCATAAAATTTGTGATGTAAATTTGCATTGTACTGAGTACAGAAAGAAGGGGTAAATAGATAATTATTGCATTCACTTAGATAGTTTATGACAGATATGAATAAATTATGACAAAAAGTAATTGAATTGATAAATCAGTAAGAGTAAGTATTATTTACTTAATGTGAGACAAAGCTTAATTCTGTACTGTATTCGTAAGAATAATATTATTCTGTCAATTATTTGGGTGAAGAGATTTTGTAAAAAGAAATTTGAGAGGAGGGAAATTACTTTTTGCATTTGATCACTTCCTGCTGCATGTCATCATTTTACACTTCAGTAAGTGGAATATCAGAACTTATAAAATAAAATACAATATCATAACTTATAAAGTAATAAACCACTGTAATCAAACGTATCAAGTATTCTCAAAAAGTAATAGTTATGATATTGTATTTTATTTTATATTTCACATTTTTTTCATAATTTCTGACTTATTTTTTTGATTATTAAATGTTTTTTCAGTAAGTAATACACAAATAAAGGTACTAAGAATGGTTCTGAAATATTAAATTTTTTCCCTCAAATTTTTATGCTTCTAAATACTTTCCACAGAGTTCCTTTGTGGTAATAATTACTTAAATTTATCTAATTATTTTATTAAAAAAATAAAGAGAAATTTTTGTGATATTCGTTTTGATGAGCAATAAAAGGTTCTTCTTCCAACGAAGTCATGCCGAAGTTTAGAGCAAATGTTTGTAATATTTTTTTAGCATTAGTATATTTTAAGTTTATTTATTTCTGCCTCTCAAACGATATTTCTTTTGATCACAAAAAAAAAAAACAAAATTTTAAT